GAAAGCCTCGTCCACCTCATCCCCCTGGTCTGGTGGTTTATAGCAGACTCCAACCACGACATCACCCTTGTTGCTCACACTTCTCAACTTAATCCAGAGACTCTCAGGTTTTTCTGCAGTTTCATACCGGACCTCTGAGCAGTCATACTCCTCTCTTACATACAACGCAACTCCCCCACCTTTTCTGCCCTGCCTGTCCTTCCTGAACAGTTTATATCCATCCAAGACAGTACTCCAGTCATGTGAGTTATCCCACCAAGTCTCTGTTATTCCAATCACATCATAGCTCCCTGACTGTGCCAGGACTTCCAGTTCTCCCTGCTTGTTTCCCAGGCTTCTTGCATTTGTGTATAGGCACTTAAGATAACTCATTGATTCATTCATTCATTCACAAGGCCCCTGACTACAGGGTATGCTCACGTTCCCAGCACTGCTGTTTGGATTGGGATATTTATTGTCATTTATTAAGGCAAACTTTGCTCCTCTCCCAGTGAAAAGCAGCACAACACTTCTGAGGGCTTTTCATTGAAGCTACTGTAAAAGACGGCCTCCATAGGGCTAAACGAGCCCCTCCAGTTCCAAAGTGCTTTATCTGATAGTCTACAGACTAGCCCTCTCCTCTATACTCTAATAAACTATCTCCATCTAGCTTGAAATAGATTGGGGTGAAAGCAGAATAGTCAACGAGCCACAATCCCCTAGCACGGACGCAGCTATACCGGTATAAACGTGCCTGTAACAGCTCAGTCTAGGTTTAGGCACACCGGCAGTCATGCTAGGGTTGTCATTATTTCAGTATGACAGCCTAACAGAACAATTAACGCTTCGCTGCTTTGCATTCCGTTTCCATAGGGCTGCATCTTTACAGTTCACCCATGAGATGCTAAAAAATTAAATTGGTGCTGCAGTCTCTCCCTTAACAGCTCCTGCCCCAAACCAGGTTACATCATGGTTTCCCATTGCCTTAGTTTGGTGGAGTCACTTCCCTCTTCCAAGTGTCTGTCCCCAGAGCGACAGAAGCCATGGGACCTGGCTCTCGCTCCTGAAAGGGTCTGCAGCCACTCAGCAATCCGACTAGCTGTGGGCACTCCACATGCTGTCCTGCTGCTGCCGCCAGTCCCTGCCCCTACACCCAGAGGGGCTGTTCCCATGCACCAGCCCTCAACCCTCAGGCATCTGGTCTGCCATTGACAGGCAGCGGTGACCTACTTGCCTTCTGCATGATGCCCTTTTCATAGTAGTAGCGCAAAGAACGGCTGAGCTTGTCGTAGTTCATGGCTGGTCGGTTCTTCTGGATTCCCCAGCGTCGAGCTACCTGAGGGGAGAGAAGACAGGCATGAAGACCCAGGGGCAGCTCTGATGGGTTTGCCAAAGGTTAGTGCTACTGAGAGAGGTCCCCAAGAGCCTTGGTGACCAGAGTCCTCCAACAGGTATAGACCCAGGCACAGTTGGCACCTGCATGTACCATTCGGTCCTTGCGCTAGCCAAGGTGGTGGCTTGTTATGTGCTCAGATGTCTATGAGAAATTGGGCCTAAACCAGCAACTGCTCATACATCACAGAGCAGCCAAACGACGGCCTCTGGACTCAACTCTGCGTCCAGGCTCTGTGTCCCATTATCAACCCCCTGAGTCACTTGGGGCCTCAGAATATAGCAGGCTAGCTGAGCAATCACTTCTACCCAACCCCTGGGTTATCGACCACTAGCCATTAGCACACGGCAGCTAAGCTCTGTGGTTTTGGTTGCAGTCAATAAGGAATTACTAGAATGGTCACCTCAGAAACCTGAGAGAGGCAGCCACAGGCAGGAGCTGCTAATGGGCTGCAAGAGAACCCCATCATTTCTAAGCAGATTCCGGAGTAGCCTGAAGAGGTTTACTCATTTCCGTTCCCTTCGGGAGCAGGAATCTGATGACATGAGGCTGCTGCCAACCAATCCGCCCCTTCCCCAGGGATTTCTGGAATGGACAATAAGCCACGCGGCACCATTATCCACTTGGAGATAGATTAATGGGATTTCCTGACACTAAGTGCACTAAGCCAAACCCCGTCCACCTGAGGCATTGTAACAGAGGGGAAATGCACGCAGAGGCTTGAGGCGGCAACCCGAGCTGAAAACAGAGCAGTTCAAATGGCAGCACTGACTGGCAGAGCAGGTAAATCCCCCTGGCCAATGTTCAGGTTGGGGGAAACCCTTTTCTGTTCACCAGGTGAGTTGCAGAGGTGTGAGAAACTGGCCCAAGGACCTCTAGTTACAGCAGCGAAGTGGCTAGTAGGTGGGGGAGCTGCTCTCCTCTTCAGCTGTTTAAAAATCAGGGCAAAGGTATACCTGGCCTAGCTAATCAGAGAGGCACCTGGGTTTAGCCTCCCAAGCCACACCTGTGGAACGTAACATCTCTCTCCATCCCTTTCCTTGCTCCAAGCCTAAGAGGAAATGGTGATCCCTCTTCCATAAGGTTCAGTGATTTGGTCTCTATTCATGGCTCGTGGAAGGGAATGGACACAGATTGCAGAGCCAGCTCCTACTAACACAGACACTCAGTCTGTTTAACAAGGGGCAGCAGAACAGCAACGACTTATTTGCTAGAAATCTAAGCACTTCAAAGCAAAGATGCGACCTCTGGAGGGAAAAGGAAGCCCGGCTATCACTCCACCCCCCACCGGCCTTTCCTCAGTGAAAGCTGTAAGGTGCTACAGCTCTGTAGGCAGGACAGCATCCCTCCACTCCTTCCCCACAGCCCAGCTCTGGAAGTGCCTCCAGAGCACGCTATCTGTTCAGTCACAGCCTCTTCCTGCCATCACTTCCATATGCAACAAGCGAGTGTTTGTACACGCAGGGCTTCCAAGCAGCCCGGTAGCTATGGTTACGTAATCGTCTTCCAGCACCAAGGCTCCGCTAATGGAGGGGGCCACAGAAGAGCTCTGTCTGTCTCACCGCTGCATGACTCTGTGCGCTGGTGAGCCCCGTGAGGCCTACTCACGGCTAGCCAGGCCCTGGCTGGGGACGGCTCCAGGAGCGTGCGGGCTAGTTAGCACTTTGACAGAAGAGAGCTTGGCTTCCCTGCCTAGCTTGCTCTTGGCTGGAGGAGATTACATGACTTCTGTCCTATCTCCTCCACAAAGGAGAGGCAGCGGCATCCCAGGGACCACGGCTCCTTGCGCTCCAGTGGGTTTTTGCCACATGTTCCACCCCCCCACTTGCATCCCCCCCTTAACTCCATCCTCCCCCCTCAAAGGCAATAAAAGCAGACTCATGGCAAAAGCATTTACAGACTGAAGAGCCGCCTGTCAGCGTTCAGAGGGTGCTCAACTGGAAGACAATCAAAGCCACTTGATTAGGGAGCCTGCCAAAAAAGCCGTTTGAAAACCACAATTTCCATGCACGGCGCAATAGAGATTATGGATCATTACCCAGAGTGCACTGCTCAGCGATGCAGCTGGTTTCAATTACTTAAACTGCTTCTTCCTCTGCGTCACCCTGCAAACGTGCCCCAATGCTCCTCACAGAGGGCGATCCAAGAACCCAAGAAGGCACTGGGCATCACCAGGGCAGAGCCGACAACTACATTGGAAACCTCATGGACCCTGCTAGGTGTCCAATGCACCCGGCAAGTGCTGGGCCAGCCCAGGGCCACGTGGGCAGGGAAGGCAACATGCTAGAGTGAAAGGGAAGGAATGATTCTCACGGAGTGCCCGGGGAGAGTGCATGAACTGGCTGCTACAGCATAGGAGATAATGACAAGCACCCAGGGCTCCTGGTTGGCAGATTGCTTGCTACCAATCTGGGGCTCTGGCATAGCAGGACGCATGGAGACCTGGGCTTGTGCCATCTGTTCAACATGTTCCCCTTGGGCTGTGTTACAGGCGGGAGAAGATCCGACAACAAGCTGTGACACAGGGCCCTACACAGGGTCACCAAGCAATGGGATCCTGTGGGTGAAAGACAAATGAACAGGGGCTGCGGAGGAGGCACTCTGGTTTTCACAAGAGGGAACGCTCTTCCAAAGGCAACGTGTGCGTCTCAGCCCTGGGCAAAGCACCGTCACTGCCGGTGGGAATATGGGCCCCTAAGCAGACGGACCTGAGCAGGGTATGTCTTACACTGGCATCACAGCAGTAACCCCCCATTACACCTTTGTGCTTTGCAGTCGAAACGGCCCTATTTTGGATTCCCAGCTGTTTTGGGGCAGGAGGGACATATTTCCACATGACAGTTCTGCTTTTCGGTGTCTGCTGAGATGGGAATTGGGGCTGGAAGTTGCAGGTTAATTGCTCCAGTTGCCAATGGAGACAGCATTGCTGGCTTTTACATCTTGAAGACCACTCAAAAGCAGACTGAATGTAAAATAAAAGCTACAGACTACACTGCTGGCAGGACTTGCATGTGTCATGGCCACTACACCTGCGATTGCCTGTAGTGCCCTGCTGCAGAATCATGCCCTTGCTCCAGAATCTACATGTCCATTTGAAAACCATTCTAGCCCTTGGAGCAGCAAAACAGCCCCAAGTAAGCAAACAGAAAACACACTCCCTTCACCCACAGGAAGGAAGCATAGCAGAGGCAGCTCTGAGAGATGGGAACTGCTCCTCAACCCTCACTATGCTGTATGTTGACTCTGAAACCTAGTGAGGACAGTCTAAATATCAACATGAACTCTCTCACTGCTGGATGTTTCCACTACAGTGATTGAGACCCCAGCATCAACCATAAATCTACCTCCATATTCCTGCTCAAGCTCCAGCACTCACCCCATCTGTGCCCTCTGCATTTCCAGTGTGAGGCAGACTGCATGGCTAGCCCAGTACTGACTCTACAAACGGAGAGCTTAGCGCCCCTGTCCCAGGGGAGCCAGAGTCTCAAACCTCCTCCAGCATTGGGAAAGAGCCAGACTTCCCCACCACTGCCCAAGCATATACCAAGAAGGCTACATTTGCTCCATCCCAAGGCTCTGTCTACCTCATCCAGCCTCCCTCAAGAGGCTGCAAAGCCACTGTACACAGCCCCTGCTCACAGTGCCCATGGGTCTCCCCTCTGGAGATCCAGAGCACACTCCATGTCCCCAGCAAAGATGTTCCCTATCCCACCCCCCCGTCCCACCTGCCATTTAGGGAGCAAGATGGGTGGAAAGGAGAGAGCCCTGATCAGCCTGAGGCTCCAAGCTAGTCATCCGTTTCCAGTAAAGTATTAAACCCCATTAGACTCAATCCGTCCCCCGCTGTTTCCCCCCCACACTGCACCAGGCAATGCCCAGAGCGCTCAGGGGGAAGCGAGTTGGGAACAGAGGCCTTTGTTTCTGGGTTGTAACCAAGCCAGCAGCTACTGGCAAGTCCCGTGTCCGGTTCCGTACCTCTTCGGGCTCGATCAGCTTGAACTCCATGCCCCGGCCTGTCCAGGCAATGAAGTGGGCATTGGCCGGGTCATCCAGGAGTGTGACCAGGAACTGCCAGAGCTGCAGTGACCCTCGTCTCTGGTATGGAGGCCCCTCCCGATACATGGTGGGCTCCTGCTTCACTTTCCCTGTGTGGGAGGAGAGACGTGTTAGATCACCTGCTCCCAACACCACAGGCTCGCTGCTGACCTGCTGTCTCCTGCACTTGGAGCCAGCCTGGCTGGTCTCTAGCCCTAGAACAAGACTGCCCGAGGATGTCACCATGCCATGGTGAGAGAGTGGGGCCTGGCTACAGAACCCAGCTCTGGCATCCTTTTGCCACTGGCTTGGGTTTCTTACCCTGTTTTTGTCAGAAGAGCCGGCCATGGGAATTCTATGAGGCAGCTCCATGCCTGCCTCCCTCCCCCACCCTGCCGCATTACAGCCAGTGTCTTACCTTCCAGCCTCTCCGGCACCACGCAGGTGTCATCAAAGTACAAACGGGCATCTTTTTCATAGGAAAATCCTAGGAGGAAAGCATGGCCATTAGCTCCGCAGTCCAGACCTGAGAGGCGACCTATGCTGAAGCATGTATGCTATAGGTGCAGAGGTGTGATTAGCTGATTGTGCCATTGAACCAACCAAACCCCAGATCAGAAATCTCCTGGACATCTGCTAGCTACCCCCTTTGCTTACAGAGCGCTGTGGCTTTATTTGAGGCCCATCTTACGCAGTTTCTTTGAAAACTGAAATTTGTCTGGTATGAATCCAGATCTCCACATTCTAGCAGAATGTTTCCCCACCATCCTACCGGGACAGGCAGCCAGTGGCATTAATAAACGCTGACTGTTTATCAGCCAGCTCAGCAAAACAAACACACTAAAAAGGCTTTCAGGAGACCATTGAGAATGCACGAAAGACCCAGCTGAGACCAGTGAAATCCCAGCTGCTACAGCGCCATAGCCACAAACACGGCCTTGGTTGGATTCCAGGCTACAAACCAAGCAGGACCTTTGTGCCGGGGTTAGCAAAGGCACTACTGGAGAGTTAGAACCTGTAAAAAAGCCATATTCCTGACTGCACAAACTCATTCATACCTGCCTTTTGGATGGACTTATCTAATGCTCAGGCCCAAACCCTACTGGTTTGTGGGCAGATTTGGAGCATGGATTGGTTTCCTCCCCTTCACCTTGAGGCCAGGCATGAAGCTAACAGCTTTAGAAAGTCAGCACATTTCACTTGCAAGAAGCACATCCAAGCACAGTCCCTTTTCTGGGCTAAACGGTGCATCGGCTCACTCGGCCTGGCCCTCAGAATGTTAGATTCTATTTGCTGGCAGAAAACCTGTCTAGACTAGTTCAGTGAGCAAGCTGAAAGCCACTCCGCTGGCCAAATACCATTCGGATTTCTCCTCTTCCCCACCCCATATAGCTCCAGTAACTGAAAACCCTTTTACTGTCTCTATCAGGCATGTTATCCCAGACTAAAGGGTACAGGCAAGTATGCGGCCGTCAAGATGTGTGGCTGAGCAAGGCAGCGTGGTTTCCCCTTGCTCTCTCACACAGCTGGGATGGTCTGTTAGCTCAGGTGAAGTGTCAGTTGAAATGGAGACGCACTATTATTAGCAGCTGCATCAGGCACAGCCGCCCGTACCACCGTTTAATACACCCAAGAGCGAGGCAGGAAGGAAGAACTCATGCTGCGGTAAATGGGAGTCTCAACAGTCGTACGGAAGGATACAGAGTGCCTGGTAAGGGGCAGATTGGATCTCTAAATCAGCAGTGATGCTGGTTTGCTATTCACCTGCTTTCACAGTGGTGCTGGACTCACCCCAGTACAGAAAGGAAGCTACAGATGGGTGGGTACCTGAACCAGGGAAGTTCCTAGGCTTCTCCCTTTCTAAAGCAGTGGTGGTTCTGTTACTGTAGTAGCATTGTCAAGGGACACTTCTCAGGGTTCTTTGTGTCAGCAGCCTCCACAACCTTCTGCCCCAGTCAATGACACGCAACTGTGCGCCCATGACCATCCCCGCAGTGCTAAGTCTTGTGTACACACGTGCACACTTACCCTCCTGGCCCGTGGGGAAGTAGCCCCCTCCTCTCATGTATGACGACTGGCAGGTAGGCACTTCTGCAATCAAAACAACAGCCGAGTTAAGCCTGCGCTCAACCAGGCAGCGCTACACCCTGGCCACATGGCACAGCAGAAGCAGCGTGCTGAGATATTCCTGGGGGGTATGGGGGGCGGCAGTGCGGGGTTGTTACACAGCCGCTGTGCGCGTGGTCAACAGGTGCAATGGCTTAGCACTTCTGCCTGCTGGGTGGGGTCAGTGTCACCCTGTCACAGGCTGGAGTGTCCTTCCGGGGCCCTAGCGGTGCTCCTCGGCACTCTGCATGCCTCCCACCCGGGATTGGCAGCGCCATGCGAGCAGGAAACCCCACGATATCACGCAGCCCTACAAGCAATTTTATTGTGGTGACATATGATAGGGCGCACCCTGTCTTCCCGGCACCCTATGGCAGGGCCTGTCCCTACCACCCCCACTCAGGGCAGAAGCAGCAGAGGGGGGGTCCTCCAGGCCTGCCTAGAGAGGCCTCCCAGAAGTAGCCAGAGCTCAGCTGGGACCAGAGGGACGGGCGTTCCTCTCTGGCCACAGGAGCTCAAGGGACAGCCAGGGTTTGATCCTGGCTGCACTTGCTTAAGCTGGGAAAGAGAGGCACCCTGGGAACATCAACCCCAAGCTAAGGGAGGAGGCTAAAGGGTCCAGGTGGGAAGAGGCCCAGGGAAGCAGCAGCAATGAATAGTGGCTGCTGGGACCCTTGGCTGGCACCCAGAGCAGTGGGGGTGCCATGTTCCCCCCCTCCCCAGGGAAGTGGTGTCAAACCCAAGATGGGGACAAGGCTCGTTTGGCAGCCCAACCTGAGGGCTGAGTTTAAAGGGCCCAGAGCCGGGGCTGAAGACCGAGGTGAGGGCAGACAGACAGTTTTGCTGGACTTTTGCTACCCTGGAAGGGTTCGTTTTGATTGTGTGACCAGCCAGAGGCTGAACCGCTGAAGACCCGCCAGGTGAGAGCAACAACCTACATGGGGCCTGGGGTCAGGAAGAGGGCTGCAGTACTGCACACAGCAGCAAGAGGCGCTCAAGAGGTGAGAGCTCTGCACACAAGATTTCAGGGACTGCTCGAAAGATTGATCATTCACTCAATGTTCGCTTTGACCTGAAGACTTCTCTGAAAAAAGAACTCCCCCTCATCTAGGAAATTAGAAGCCTCCAGGCCAGCTCATAGCTCTGAACTATTCCTAGCCCACGTGACTATTTACCCCCCTCAGATTCAACGTGAAAGATAAATCCGAGACTAAACTGAGGTGTCCTGAATTTGTGGGCATGAATAGGATACTGCAACTGCAGGTACAGCATATTTATCTTGGAGGTCTTATAAACCAGCTCTTCTCTCCTCTTCCTACAGGGGACAGCCCCCTTCTCATTCACTCCCATCTCTTTGCAATGGCATGCGGTCTCAAAATGAGTAGGGAGAGGTTATCAGCACAAAGTACAGGCTCTTTCCTGGTTTGGAAAAGGCAATCCAAATTGACTTGCAAAGACGATTTGGAGACACTCAATAGGGAAAGGTCTGTTTCAACAATCCACGTTAATAGATGGTCTTAAAAGAGAACAAGCCCAATATTTCGTCTTCTCCCAAATAGCTCAAGCAACACGAGAAGGGAGGAAAGTTGAAGATAAACAAGAGTCCTTCAAAAAATTTAGATCCCCTCCCCCCCACACATCTGCTCCAGTTTGTTGCTGACGACTGCATCCAATCCTGCCTTTGAGAGGTCACCGTATTTTTAGGCCTAAGGCGATTAGAGGATTTTCTGTTGTGTAGCTAGGCCCTGCACGGTCAGCAGCCAGCAGAAATCACACTATGGGTCAACAGAGTCGGCTACCTGGGGCCAAGGGGAAAGCTTAGCCCGAGCCCACATAACTCTGTGTTCTCAGATAACCTTTGCCCCTGTGAGCTAAGGGAAAGAGGGGAGGAGGCGGTGTTTCTGCACACAGGTCTGCAGCGCGGTTGAGCAGGACCGCTGTGCAGATTACTGGTGCTTAGATACAGCAACATCTGTTGAGTGCCTGATGCTTGTTCTTTATACAAAAAAAAGAGTCATCTGACATTCTAACTCGGTTAGACATTAGCTCTCGGAGGCAGCGTGTGGGGCGCGGTTTCCCACACCCGCAGTGGGAAGCGCTGAGGTCACACAGGTCACCGCTTTAATGCAACATTATCAAGACACCTTCAAGGAAGTTGCCAGCTAAACCTCAGCAGAGGCAGGTGGGCCAACTGCAGCTCCGTTCCTCTCCTAGCACGGCAGAGCTAGTGGTACTTTGCAGCACCCCAGTGCTGGCTGAGAGATGGGGAGAGATACAGCTTGGCTCTAGCCTGGAGTGAGTGAATCAGCTGGAACTCGCTGCATCAACCTGCTCCCCACCCCAGCCATTCGGGGAAGGACTCCAGCCACACAGACGGCTTGCGAACAGGGTGCTAGGTTACGGGCAGAAGGCTCTTCCTTCCACAGGGCCTCAGCAAAGCCTGGGCACTGACCTACTGCCAGCAGGGGTTCTTTGGAGGCATTTTGTAGGCATGAGAAAACCAACAGGCTGCTGTATATAAACACTGCTGTTCCCTTCCCCATCGGTCCCTCGCTGTGCTTGGAAATCACCCAGCGAACTGAGAGAGCATAGCAGCGCCTGCTCCAGCTTAGGGCATGAACCAATATGCTGTTCGGCTTCAAAAGAGCCATGGGGAGTGACTTCTCCACGCTCCCCCTGACAGCATTCTGAAGCTGCTGCAGTGCCTGCACTCCACCCTAGGGAGCAGCTTCCCTTTCCGAGACGCCGCACTCCCTACAGACTCTGGCTGAGGTCCGCAAGTTCCAAATGGGGTCTATTCCTCAGACGAGGGTGCTCAACAGCCTTCGTGAAGCCCTGGGGCCCAGGGTCCTGCGCACGAGGAACACTACAGCAAAAGCACCAAGGTGCGGTCCTGGCTAAACCTTTCAGTGGCATCTCCAACTCCCATACAAACCTGAGTCAATGCAGTAATCCCTGGGCTCCTGCTTAATGCCCATTGGAGACTGGTATCCATGCCTTGGAGGCCCTGGAATGCCCGGGACACCGTGCTCATAGAGGGGATCATGGTACTCTTGTTTGAATCCCTGAGGAGGGTGCGGAGCGGCTGGGACTATAGGTTCGGACATCTGCCTGTGGTAGACTGGGCGACTGTCTCCAGGAAGGCCTGGTGGAGGAGGGAAAGGATGGCAGGGCTCAGACAGCTGTCTCTGAAACCTTTGGGGTGGGGTGGGGGAGAAAAAGAGAGAGAGAGAGAGAGAGAGAGAGAGAGATATGTTACCGTACGGTGAAACCATCCATTCCCAGCTCTGCCAAACAGGCAGCCCACAAGAACTCACGCCCATTACCCTGACAAAAGTAGAATACCTAGCCCTGTTTTCCCCACTGCTAGCCGCTACTGGCAATGCCCAGGGACCCCACCAAAGACATTCATTAACTAGAGATTACAGGTGTCAAATGCACTTGCCCTCTGAAACAGAGGCTGAGCTGCAATTCTGAGCTAACTAGCTGCAGCCTTAGGTTTCTGAGCAATGCTCAGAGACCGAGACTGGATTGGTCCCACTCCCACCCTGAGAGCCAATATGGAACCACTGTGGAATGGATGGAGAGGGCATTTATAGGTAGGGCTCGGGGGCATTCATGTACCCCAATTGCCTCTCAAGCCATTCACGGGCAGGAACCAGCTCCTACCAGGTAGCTGCACAGAGACTCTATAGCAGAGAATTATGGAGTTTGAGAACTAGGTCAGATGGGAGGTTTCCCATGTGGCTGGGACCATGCTGCTGCTGCTGCCAGTCAGGGCTGGGCCAAGGGCCTAGTTTGGTCTTTTAAAGAGAGGTGAGGGACAGCTTGTAACCCTGCTTCTCTGCAGTTATGGCAGGATTTTCAGTCCTGGGCTTCTTACTCCCCAGGGAGAGACAGATAGAGCCCCCGAGCTCTAAGGTTTTTGGTCTCTACAGGCAGCCATATTGCATTGGGGGGAAAAACTATGTCTTGATCCCCCCAAAGGCTCTAGCTACCACACATGGACCCTTCCAGCCAGTGGGAAGCAAAGACTGTCCAAAGAAAGCAAGCCCATCACCTCCACAGAATGACCCAAAGCCAGGGGACATGGTAACAGAGGGGAGAGGAGGGCAAGGCCCTTGTAAGCGCCAAGGGGAGAGACACCTGCTGGCAGCTGTCAGTGGGCCAGCTCACAGCAATGACTCGCATTCAGCCAGCCTTTTACTTGGGGACCTGGGGCACATGAAAGGAGAAGTGGGATGTTAGAGCCCCGATGATCCTGCGACACCAAACATGCGGAGAAGGGCCTTGTGGAATTGAAGCAGCATTGTGGGAAGGACGTTGGCAGGGCTACAGCCTTCGTAGAGTTCAAAACACCATCTTGGGGAAGAGTCTCCCATGGCACCGCAGTACCATCTTCTCCTTGGAGGACAGGGTAGATGGTGAGCCAGGAGCTCCCTCGTTGAGAGCACCACAGTCACCTCCACTGGAAAGTGGCTTTCCACACACGAAGTTAGCTCATCACAGGAGCAACGTGGCTCAAACCGAACTAGCAACGTTCTCAGGACCGCCATGGTCTCCCACAATGCAGATGGCTTTTTAAATGGGGTGCAGTTAGGCTACCAAGTCCTACGTGTACTTTATGATCAGGGTCTCTGTAGTCCCTTGTCAACCCCACTCAAGATAAGACAAAACCAGCAGCCATGTGGGCCCAGATAGATTTAGCCCATGGCAGACTCAGGCAGGCGAAGGCAGCATTCAAGCAGTTTTTGTGCAGACCAAGTCAAGAGATGCTCATGAGAGGTGGGGCGGGCCCAGCCCGGGCAAACCTGTTTCACTCCCTCCAACATCCGGCCCGGCTCCCAAGTGCTCCACTCCCCAGGCACAACCTGGTACCTGGGTAGCTCATCAAAAACACTGGTGATGGAATCAGGAGATGTAACCTGTGCCACACTGCCCTGGATTAGCCAGTCATCCAAGTAGGGGAACACACACTCTCAGCCAGCGCAGCTTGGCCTTCGGCCCCTCCCCACACCTGCCTCCTGTGCTGCTATGGGAGCTATCACCAGGCTACATCCAGATGAGGGTAGGGGAGTGACACGTCACTGCCCTCCCCTGCCTCTCAGGGACGTTTACCATCTTCATGGGTGGGGCACTCGGAGCAAGTCCGTTCAGCCCCTCCTGGCAGGCCATCACTCCTAGCTCCTTGGTCAAGAGCCCGCTAGCCAGCTATTGGTAAACAAGGCCGCCTGCATCAAGGAAATTCACACAGACGTGGCTATGGCAAGGTCTAGGCCCCAGAAGACGGGCCCACTTGACCATGACCTTACAGCAGGCATGTGAGACGAATACCTGCCTCCCAGGAGACCAGGGAGCCCCGTTCCTACCCCTTGCTGAGGACAAGACCCCATGGACAGGGGACAGAGGAGAGAAGAGCCCCAGGATGTTCTGCTCCTGCGCTGTCACACAGCTTGGACTGAGGAGCTGGCAATTACATAATGCTGAATCCATTCCAACCTGAGAAAGCCAAGTGGCCTCTAATCTGCCTCTGGGGCTGGGGATTAAGCATTTAACTCTCTGGTGGGGTGTGGGCCTCTGAGCTCTCGTGGATGCTCAAGTTGGCAGAGATCAACCTGGGCCATTGCAGAAACAACCCATCTGAGGCACCTCTAGCCAAGTGACCTGCTGCTGAACCTTGTCGCACATCCTTCCTGGATCCTTAACGCTCCAGTTAAGGAAGCCACTGAAAGGTGCCCAGGCGTGTGCCAGCAGCAGGCACAAGTTCTGATTTGCTGTACCCGGGCAGGGGGTATGCCGGGGAACCCCCAGCCGGTGCCTGCAGGGGAGGAGATCAGGATGTGAAAGGCATCCGCCCCTATTTGTAATGCTCCAGAGGCTGAGTGCTGTGACTTGGGAGAGATGTGAACAGGAGCCCAGCCCAGCCCCCACCCACAATTTGCTGCTTAACATCTCAGCACCTTGAAAGGCGATCTCTACCAATCAGTTCCTTTCCCAAGCACCAAGGCCCCTGGGACCTTTGTAACTGGATCCTTTGCAGCTGACGGGCCTGGATTACTCCACTTCCGATGGATGCCCCTCTAACCTTTCAGCCTGAAACTCTAGCACTGTGGTGGTATGGCCTCTGCAGGAAGAGGCACTTCCGGATGGGTGCGAGCCAGTAGCCGAAGCATAGCTGTCAGGTCGTCTGGAGCTCGCAGCCCTGGGGGCTGCAAGGCGACCTCAGATGCTAGTGCCATTCACTAGGGCTTTTTTGGAGATGGTGGGGGGGGAGGGGAAGCGAGGAGAGAAAGATGAGAGCAGAGATATCCAGGGAGGTGGGCTCAGCTTTTGAAACCCAGTGTTGACTTGTGTTCCTATGGTTTCCACTTGTGCAGATTAGGGAAGCATTTCACATCTCATCCTGCTTAAAATAAAGCGTGGCCAACTTTGTGCCCTGACCTTCATTTGACTATAGCCCCCGCCTGCCCTGCCTGTTCCTCTGTGGGATCGATCCACATCCCGCAGTGGAGACAGAAAACGAAGCGCCCGTTTACAGAGGCAGAAATAGGGAAACCTGACAGATAGACAGGCCAGCTCAATTTGTAGCGAACCAGCCCCCCGCTTTCCATTCCCCCCTTATTTCAGCAGATCCCATCTTTAAAGAATTCTCCGCCATGCACATCTGTGGCACTTCGGAGGGAATAAATCAATGGCGTAGATAACCCAGACTAAGGAATACAGATGAGGATGCAGACTTCCTGCCCCCTGAACTAGGCAAAAGCCCATCTAGGTCTTTTAAAGCAATCTACCTACCTAGGTTCTAGCAGCACCAGCTTAAGGAAAAAGGACATGAACAAACAGCAAACAAACTGTTGAAACTAGGTTGAATCCAGATGCTTTTTTTGCACATCTTTGGCACTGCAGCCGGTCTTGTGTGTGCAGATATGTTCCACATAGCTCTATCTGGGACTTTGCTGGAATAAGATGGATACACAGCTTGGCAAGAGTCAAGCAGAATAACTGATAAAATTCAGCATCGGGCTGAAAGGTAGAACTAAGTAGGTTGTCACGGTGCTCTCTAGCAATGGACTGAGTAGAGACAATGTGGAGCAGTGTCAGACACTCAGCAACGGGAAGGTTTACAAGCACTTGGGAGGCTATGGTTAAAATACACAGTACAATCCCAACAAACTGCAGAAGTGTGATAAAAGCAACACAATAATCCGAGGTCAAGGAAGCACGACTGTCAAGTGATTTCCAGACAGGAGGGAATGACTACATCGACAGATGAGCAAGAAAGTGGTACTGCAGAGGAGGGCTTTGCATTGTGATCTGCATTGCTGGAAAGTTGGGGTGAAGTGGAAAAAAACATGTTGGGAATGTTGCCTTGTTTTGCAGAACACACAAATACTCCTAGCACGTCACCCCCAAAGCTTGGAGGACTTGAACCAGGGTGGAGGATGTTCAGCCAGGAGTTTTGGCAAGGCCGTGTGAACAGGGCGGCAGGGTGCTGGCTCCACTAGAGGATGTTCTCAAGAAGGAAGAAAGCAGCTGAGATTCTTGCAGGAAGTGACAAATGTTGCAACAAGCCCGTTTAAAAAAAAAAATCCAGGCTCTGCAGTTTTCATATGTGCATTAAACTTCGAACAGGAACAGAGAAACAGTGCAATTCACCAAAACTCATCTACTTGGCTCTGTGAAGGGAGGAGTCACGTGGCAAAAGCAGAAGGTAATTATCTGCCTTAACTCAGGCAGATTAATCCTCAGCTTGAGTCAGTACTATATTAGTGTATGGGCAGCACAATAAAAATGTTCTAAGGAAACTAGTGAATATTGAAGAAAGCAATACTATGCGAGGTTTGGAGAACAATTTCTCCTTGGTCTTAAGACAATGGGACGTGTTCAGTCTAGGGAAGAGATGGGCAGGGGGTCAAGATATCCGAAGTGTACCTACAGATACGTGAAAGGCATGTTCTAAAGATCAGGGCCGGCTCCAGGCACCAGCCCACCAAGCTTGTGCTTGGGGCGGCACCTGGACGGGGGCGGCACAGTGTGGTGCTTCGGCTCTGGCCGCCGGGGAGAGCGGAGCCCCAGCCGGGGCTCGCCGCCGGGGAGAGCAGAGCCCCAGCCGGGGCTCGCCGCCCTCCCCCTAGGGCTCCGGCTGCCCTCCCTCCCAGCACCCTCCCCC